GGTCACGAACAGCAACGCCTTTAGGTCAAATTCTTCCCACATGTGCTCATCCCACGCACGTACACCCGTTCCATTCCACAGTTGTAAGAGTTCTTCAACTAATGGCCTTAGGTACACATCAATCTCGTTGCCGGGTTGCTTAGGGCCTTGGATGAGCACTGGCATTATAATGAACTTCCGCTTCATGCACAACCAAGGAGGAAGGTTATACAAACATAGAGTCACAGGCCAGGTGCTATGGTTGCTGCTCTGCTCCCCAAAAGATTTAATGCCATCTGCGCTTAGACCAAACCATACGCTCCTTGCGTCATCTGCAAACTCCTTCCCGTACTTTCTTTCGATTTTTCTCCACTGCAACCCGTCAGCGGGTACTCTCAACTTTCCGTCTTTCTTACGGTATTCTCTGTGCCATCGCATCGCCTTGGCATGCTCTTTGTTTTGGAACAAACATTTCAACCGTGGTATTATAGGAGAATACCACATCACCTTGGCAGGAATCTTCTTCCTGGGGCACTCGCCCTCGGCATCACCAGGCTCATCGCGGCTGATCTTATAGCGCAATGCACCACATACCGGGCAAGCGTTCAAATCCTCGTACTCACCGCGATAGAGGATGCAATCATTAGGGCATGCATGTATCTTCTGCACCTCTAACCCTAGAGGGCAGACAGCCTTCTTTGCTTCGTACGTACTCTCAGGCAATTCGTTGTCCTTTGGAAGCATATCCTTTATCATTACCAGTAACTTTCCAAATCCCTTGTTAGATACACCATTCTCTGCCTTCCATTGCAGCAATTCCAGTGTGGTGCCCAGCTTTTTCTTGTCACCTACGCAATTCGGGTACAACAATTTTTTGTGATCCTCTAACATGCGCTGCAACTTCTTCTTCTCCAAATCACTTGCGCAGTTTCTCTTTGCATCAGCAATGGCCCGACCTAGATCATCAACGGGCTCATCTGATGCCTCTTCTTCAGCTTCTTCCTGCATTGCCGGCTCAGCTTCTTCCCACATTACCGTCTCAGCTTCTTCCCCCATTGTTGTATCATCGTATTCAGGGAACCCATGGCCAGGATAGCTGTCGTCGTCCTCTTCTTCTTCATTGTCTTCCATCATAACCCCTCTTTCTCCGTGCTTGGTCCAAACATTATAGTGGGGCATGAAACCGGACTCAAACAGGTGGACGTGAATGGTTCTTGACGTAGAGTAATTGTGACCATTCTTACAGCCAGCACATGGACAAGGCATAAAACCATCCGCCCGCTTGTTTGCCTCAGCCGCAAGCAGAAAAGTATGCACGCCCTCAACGAACTGGGGAGAGCATCGGTCATCGTACATCCATTGCCGGCTCATCTTCATTACACAACACCGAATAGACCAAATTAATACAAGTTCATACATAAAGTTCATACAACACTTAAATGCAACAAACAAATAACTCTCTAGCTAAACATTTAAATGCAACAACAAATGCGATCAAGATCGCAACTAAGATAACAATTGATCCAACAGCATAATGATACCAAGCCTCACTATCGATGGCATATTTTGTAATCTTTCTAATCTTCAAGCGCATTTTCTCCATCTTGATCTTGTGATTATCGACGACATCGGCAACATGCAACTCCAATTCCATCTTCTCCCCCTCAATTCTTTCCAATTTTTCTTTCAAGTACTCGTTTTCACTTTCAACTAAATTTAACCTCTCGACAATAGGGTCGGTTGGAATTTCCGGTTCACATACCTCCTAGATAAAAATATCTATGTCAACTTGATGGGCATAATTTGTCATAAACACGAAATGCAACAAGTAGTTTTAAAAGAGAATATACCACATCCGAATTATAACAAGGACGAGGGCCGACGGGGACGGATATCAAAACCATGGCACTATGTATAACAAACAACGTATGGGTAAGATAATTATACGAGTAACTATATATCCAAATCACACAAACATCAATTTTTTATATAAAATTTCATGAACAACAGGCTCACCACAAGGTGGTGCCGGCGACGGGACGGTGCGGGCGACCGACGGTGGTTACGACGGAGATTTAGAAGGCACTAAGTAAACCACACCTACATATGCAAACTAAGTGTTATTTTGACCTCAAATTGCATATAAATCAAATACTACCACATATAATTCCTCCCAAATTACTAAAACCCACAATTAATCACTATATAAACCAATGCAAGAGCTAATCTAGCAATGAGAGATGAAAGGACAAAGTTGCTAACCTTGGTGATCATTTGAATGGATGGGGGCCTGCAAATCTTGACAAATTTGGGGCAAATTTTGTGATGAACTCGAGAGGAAGAAGGGAAGAACAGAGGAGAGGGAAAGGGGAAAGGAGGAAGAATAGAGTGCGGGTGGATGAAGGGTTTATATAGGACGACCTTTAGTACCGGTTCGTGCCACGAACCGGTACTAAAGGTGCTGGAAGGGCCCCACTCTGACAACATCCTGCCACCACTTTCTTTAGTACCGGTTCGTGGCACGAACCGGTGCTAAAGGTTCGCCACGAACCGGTACTAAAGAGCTCCTCCCGCCTAGCCGTTGGAACCGGCACTAATGGACACATTAGTGCCGGTTCTGTTACAAACCAGGACTAATGTGTCTCACATTTGATTCTTTTTCTACTAGTGAGGGTCTACCTCACGTTTCAAAATATTGCTTGCATGCTTATCGATCATGTGGAAATATCCACGTTAAGAACATCAGCATGAGCAGTTTTCTTCGTATATGCCATGGATGTGCACGGTTTGTTCAGCAAGTAGGGCGGCACCATAGAACCACAACAGTTTGGTGTTCCGTTTTGATTACCTAGTGTCAAGCGTCGTGTTAAAATCCCTAGTTCTGACCTAGTTGGTTGTCTGGCGTCCTCGATGACAACATAAGGATATATCCAAAGTAGGCAACGTATGTGAAGCTAATTCCAACCCTCAAGGTAGGAAAAAAAATCAGGTTCATAATGCTCAAGCTGGGACTAAGAAATATGTAAAAATAAAGGACAACGCTAACGTCCATACGTGTGGTCGGAGCCAAACCCGCCCACACGCCCTATAACACCCAGACTGCGCCACGTCACCGTATGCAAGCATGTGTGAATTTTTTTGGATTTTCAGTTTTTAAAATGTTTTATCTCTTAAATGAAAAATTCGATTGAAGATCCGTTTTCACCATTAAATCCCTCGCGACGAGACCTTCAAAACTAGATCTCATATCAATACCTTTCGACGAAATTTTTTTGGTTAAAAGTTGCCATGTCTGTTGCATATGAATTGCCATGATGTTTACACTGAAGTTGCCATGATATGTTTCAGCTATTTTCTTCTACATTTAAAGGTAAATTTTGACATATTATAAAACGGGAAATTAAGAAGCAGTTTTGCTAGAACTCATCTAGATAAGATATAATTTGGTCCCATTCACCTTTTATAGCCATTGGATGTGATGCTATAAGATACGTGTGTGCTGACGTGGGTTGTATCTATTCTTGTTTTTAAAGTGAATGAGACCAAATTATATCTCATCTAGATGAGTTCTAGGTACTTCCAGAAAGAAACTAGACTTGCCATGAACCATAAACTAAAATTGTCATGATACATGCACTTAAAATTCCCATGGTTCATAAAAATATAATTTTCATGGTCAAACTACTGGAATTGCCATCATCAGAAAACTAAAATTGCCATGCTCTACAAACTAAAATTGTCACATGGCCACTTTTGGGCAAAAAAAATTTGTCAAAACATATCAACATGGGTCTAGTTTTGAAGATCTCGCCGAGACGGATTGGTGAAAACGAATTTTTAATTTGATTTTTTAATTAGGAGATAAAACATTTTTAAGCCAAAAACCAAAAAATTCCTTCTAATGTCATCAGTTCATACGTGGCAAAACGAGTGATGATGTAGGCATATGAGCGATGTGCAAGATGCCACACGTGTGGGCGGTAGTTTTTTTGAAAATAAATACCACTCACGAGGTGGAAAACTATTGCAACGCAAATAGGCAAGCCGTTGAATGGCTGGATATTTTGCTCTAAAGATTGGATATTGACTAAATTCAAACTGGACGGGTGGGATGGCGGCGGATCAGACGAATTTATCTCCAGGGCAACGACTAGTCCACGCTATCAGCTTCACCAGCTCTGCTGCTGCAGCCTTTAAATATTTGCCATCTCCTCACATCCGAGCATAATTGTTTAGTCTGCTACCTAGTTTCTACGACCAGAAGGTAAGCATATAAAGCTATGTCTATGTCTATTTAGCAGTGGCTTGGACTTTTCTTATCCGAGCCACAGTTTTAATTAAGCTTGTGGATTAGCGTCCACCCATCTTAATATCCTATATAGTCTGTATAACCTTCGGGCGAAAGAACATATTTATGTATGTATAACCTAACATGCAGAAAAAATGAAAAAAAAAACTAACCTGCACAAAAAAAAGTGAACTAATAGTTCATTGTTATGCACGTCTTCAAAAACTGAACTAATATTATAAAATTTCATAGTGTGCAATAATAGGTGATTCTAAAAATTTAAGCAACACGAAATTAGCAAAAAGAATATTTACATCAAATAAGAAAAATATGAATCCATGTTAGCCATAATCCAAGCTAAGCATCTCCTGCCTATAAGAAAAAGAAAAGCAGAAAGTTCATTATGCCTCTATATGTAGTCTGCAGTGACAAATTAGGTGTCCTAGTGTTCTAGAGATGTGATTAACATTGCTACTGACAGCATGTAACATTCTTGGTTTTATTCACAACATCGATGCAGCATTTACCTATCATGGCATAATTTCTTTTGTTCACATTGATCCCCATGTTGAGAAATGGATAAGATGCATTGAGTTGTTGCTTTTTTTTGAGTTCTTCAGCATTTGCTATGAGTTATAGTGATGATAGATACATCTCTAGTGAATTATTAGTATATCTACCTCCCTATTGTGTTCACCCCCTGATATATATAGCAGGTTACTGCTCCGAGATCATGACAGGCAGCTCACCGAAAGTTAGTGAGATCCGGGGCGCGCAGCGTGCGGAAGGCTGCGCAGCCATGTTGGCTATTGGAACAGCAAATCCTGCGAACCAGGTGTCCCAAGAAGAGTACCCTTACTACTATTTCCGTGTCACAAAGAGCGAGCACCTTACTGACCATAAAGACACATTCAAGATAATATGTAAGCACCCAAACATATGTACAAATTCTTTTAAGGAGACGTGTATGATCTGACATGATTCGTTATGTTGTTGATTTTTTTGATCTCTAATATTTAATCAGGTGGTCTCACGGGCACGGAGAACCGTTTCTTCTACCACACGGATGAACTGCTCAACTCCCACCCTGTCTTGCTGGACCACACATCGCCGTCCCGCGAAGCTCGGCATGATATCGTCGCCAAGGCTGCTCCAGGGCTTGCGGCATCAGCAGCAAAGAAGGCCATCGCAAAGTGGGGCCGTCCGGCCACTGACATCACCCACCTTATTGCCAGCACCAACTCTGACGCCGGCGCCCCAAGTGCGGATGTATGCTTGGTTTCACTCCTTGGCCTTCGCGCCAACGTGTGCCGTACGATGCTCCATCTTAATGGCTGCTTCGCTGGCTGCTCCGCCTTGCGTCTAGCCAAGGACCTTGCTGAGAACAACCGTGGGGCACGCGTCCTCGTGGTTTGCGTGGAGCTCGCCATTTCTGGCTTCTGCAGCACCGGCGAAGGGAACTGCTTAGACACCCTCATTACTCATGCGTTGTTTGGTGATGGGGCAGGCGCGGTTATCGTCGGCGCCGATCCCATACACCCGGTTGAGAATCCTCTGTTTGAGATGGTGTCCGTCTCTCAGACCTTCGTGCCGAGCACCGAGCATGTGCTCACCCTGAACTTGGGGAGCCACGGCACTCATGGCAAAGTTTACACCAAACTGCCCACACTGGTAGCAGACACCATGGAACCTTGTCTTTCAGAAGCATTTGGTCGACTTGAGATGGACTTCAAATGGAATGACCTGTTCTGGGCTGTGCACCCGGGCAGCCGTGGGATCTTGGACCAGCTTGACAAGACCCTCCAGTTGGATCCCACGAAGCTAGCGGCGAGCCGAACTGTCGTACAAAAGTTTGGGAACATGTTTAGTGCCACCGTGATCTTCGTGCTTGACAAGCTGCGCCGGCGAATGGAGGAGGAAGGAGAGCGAGCAGAGTGGGGGGCAATGGTAGCATTTGGACCAGGTTTCACTATCGAGACCATGGTGCTCCACGCAACTAGTGCTCTGAAGGAAAATTAGCACTTCTTTAAGCTTCATACGCAGCAGAGAATAAGATTAAAGTCAATGTGCGCAATTAGGTTGTGAGAAATAACCTTTTATACTATTTTGGTTACACACACTTTAACCATGAAATAACTATCACCATGTGAGAATGACTATTGATCGAGTATTTGGTCTTTCACCAAGCTTTAACGATCTTAGCGAAGAACATGTTTGCTTGTAGTCTGCACTGCAGGTCTTAGTAATCAAATGATATTCTGTATGGTCATCTTGCTACACACATCTGTGATGGTCCTATTTACTGTTATGTCGGACAGTCCGAGTTTCTTTTTCCGGCACCCGGGTATATATATTGTTGTGATGTATATTTTGCTGTAAAGTTGTGTGCATTGATTTTCTGTTATCAGAGTGTTTTGTTGCAACCAGTAGAATATATTAGTGTTACTATTTATCACCCAGGATGCAGAATACGTTATTCAATACCCGAGGTAATCTTACGATCACTTCCTAAATAAATTATGTTTAAAATATAAACACTTACATGCATATTGATTCAATATGTAAATTTGGTACAAAAAACAAAAATATAGGTTATAAGACCAGAAAAATCACATTTCATGTATGTTTTACACAATGTGTTTACATTTGTAATTTTACATAACATAAAATATTTTTTATGGCGAGTACATATTTTCTTACATTCTCTTTTTATGTATGAAATAAAAAAAATTACGAAACGTAAAAATACGGTGCATTGATGTCAAAATAGAGAGGGGGTGAAGAATAACTATTCCTCACGCAGGGTGACGAATAGCGCGATGGCGCTATTCGTCACCCTG